CCCCCCCCTCCCAGAGACCCCCTTCCCCTCCGCTAACCTCCCCCTGGCTAACAGGCACTTTACCCCCTGCCCACCACCCCCCCGAGATTTAGGGATGGCACCCAAGCCCAGCTGAGAGCTGGCAGCACCGCCTGCCTCTCCCCAGACACCTCTCTCTGCCTTCCCACCTTTGCTCTCGCCGCACCGGGGGGGGAAAGGAGGGAGGGAAGGAAGGAGGGATGGGGGATGCCAGGGCTGGACAATCCCCGCCGCTCCCGGCACCAAACGGCCCAGCAAGAGTGGGGGGTCCCGGGCCGCCCCGGGAGCACGGCTGGGACGCAGCGTGCCGCCGGATGCGGGGTGTGAAGGGAAGTGACTCTGACGGGGAGGAGAGGGCAAGCGAAGCGCAAATGGAAGAGCCCATCTTTTATTGACGAGGAGCTCTCTTGTCACAAGCGCTTTCCCGCTGGCTGCCACCCGCCGGCAGCCCCACGCTGTTAAAAATTAACCACCCGCCCCGGGAGAGGAGCGGGGAAAAGAAGAGAAGAGATGGAAAAGGAGGTGGCGGAGGGTTTCTCTGCAGTGCCAGCCTGCGGGTTGTTTCCTGGAGCGGCATGGCGGGGATGCCGGGAAGAGGAGGGAAGGGGCAGCTGCTTCCCCAGCAGCCGCGCCGGACATCATCCCATCCCGGCTTCTCGCTGCCGGCTCCGGCTTGGCGGTGAGCAGGAGGAAATGAGCGCACGGAAACAGATTCGCTGGATAAGCTGCATCCGAAAGGCTTTTGGCCCTGGCTCGCTGGGACCCAGCCGGGTTATCCGGAGCCACCAGGGCTGGGAGCCGGAGGCAGCTGGGGGCTGGTTTGGGCAGGAGGGCAAGGAAAAGCGCTGGGCGTAGAAACCGGCCGCAGCCTTTGGATGAAACTCCAGCTTTTCGGGCCCTGCTGTTGATAGGAAGAGCAGCAGTAAATATTATTGCAGCTACGTCCTTGCCTTGTCAAATAGCAGCTAACAGGCAGCACCTGCGTGGCTCAGGAGGCCGGGAAACGGCTGGCGAAGGGAACGGAGGCTTCAGGAGGGATCCCCGTCAAGACCCAGGCTGAGACCTGGTGTGAGATGCTGTGAGAAGAAGTATTATCCACCGTGGTCATAGAGCCAGCGCAGCGGGGAGGATGGTGGCAGCACCTTCCCCTGGGTGCTGTGGTGAAGCAGGCAGTGCTCTCTGGGCTGGGGGCTGCAGCCTGTCCCCCTCCCCGTCCCAATCGTCCTGCGTGGCTGCCAGTGCTGGTGGGGGGCATTGGAGAGGGGTGCCACCACCCAAACCGGAGCTGCTCACTGCCCGGCTGCATCCAGAGAGCAGCGGGACGGGGAAGCTCAGGATGGTGGGGACAATGTGGGATCATCTGGCGGAGCACCGAGCCACTGGGTTTTGGCGTCTGACATTGCCCCCCCTGCCCTGTCTCCTGCGGGTTTTGCAGGTGTGGGGAGGGGATAAAGCCACCTCCTGCTTGGTGGGACCGTGGTGCTGCCGTCCCATTCCGGCTCGGTCCTGCTGCAGGCAGCGATGTTGTGGGCTGAGCGTTCCTGTCCGAACCAGAGCTGGGATGGATGGCTTGTTTTGACCCTGGCTCCTGACAAGGGTCGGTGGCCACCAAACCTCTCACCCTCTGTCTGTCCCTCTTGTCTTTACAGATGCGCTGGCTCCCTCCCTCCGAGGCTGGTTCTCAGGGCTGGAAGTCCCGTCAGTTCTGCTGAATGCCGGGTGAGTGCCACCTCCCCGCTCCCCTCCTCCTGCGCCGGCCTGGTGGGCTGGGGGCCACCTCCACCCTCACCCTGAGCTCCTCGGGCTCTCCGGCAGCTCAAGGGTGGCCAGATCCTATGCCCGCACCGGTGAGGCCGCTTTCCAGCAGGCAGCGTAGATTCAGGTGCCCTCCTTACCCCCAGGAAGGGGAGGTCTCCACCACCATCCACCCCAAGGCTTTCCCAAATATCCAGGGGCAGGATGGAAAGGCTGGTCTGTGGCTGCCGGCCCGTGCTGTTGCAGTGAGGCCACCTGGCTGAGGGCAACCTCCCCCTCCCCAACACAATGCAAACATCTCATTAAACCTTAATGAGAACTCTCCAAAGGAAAGGCACAGTGTTACTGGGGGGGGTCGCTTTGATTAACACCTGGGATGTCTTCAGACGGAAAAAGCCTTGCAAGATACACTCTGCAAATAACTCGGCCTTTTGTGGATAAATAAACAAGAGGGATTCAAATGGAAGAGGAGAAAGAGGCATGGCTCGCCCCGTGATCCCAGCCTGTCCCGACCACCCCAGCTGCTGATGCCCTGTGGGGAAGCCTCCTGTGGAGAAACCCCAGAGGATCCAAGAGGGTGGCAAGGCTCCGGTATCGGCTGCCCGTGCCACCACTCTGCCCACCCACCCAGGACCCGCAGCGCTGTGTCACAGCCACGAGGCTCACTCACCCGGGGAGGGCAGGAGGACCGGCCATGGCTGCAGCCGTCCCGGGACTTGGACCCACAAAGCCTTTATCGGCTATTTTAGGCCCAGCAGATAAAAATAGGGAGCAGCGAGGCTTTGGGAACCAGCGGTTCTTCCAAAATATGGAACGTGCCAATGTTTCCAGCTAGAATGTAAGCAGAGCCATATTTGGGAAGGGGAGATGAGTGAATCCCTTGGACTAGGTCCACCTGCCTGCAGCAACCCTAGTAGCCACAATGGGTGGGGTGAGGATGGAGGGTCGGGGACCTCCCGGCTCCCCTCCAGGCTCCTCCAGCCGGGAAGGGCTACGGCACAGCCCAGCGAAGGATTTTGCTGCTGCCCTGGCTCTCCCACCTGCATCCTCCCCATGTTTGCCACATGGAACTCATCAGGGCAGGGCTGAACTGTAAAGTGTCCCCTTAGGAAGCACCAACCCCGGCCACCACAAAATAACCTCTCCCTGAGCACACCAGCCTCAGCCCCTGCCAGCATCCCTAACCCTCTGCTGTGTCCTCTCGCAGGTCTCAGGTGTGTGATGGTGGCCTACAGTCAGTCTTGTGGGTATTAATGGAGTCTTCCAAGGCGGCTACTGGGTTGGCGTGCTCTCCGCAGAACCACAGTGTGCTGGTAAGGCTGCAGCACGGCGCCGGGCTGCGCGAGGGGGATGTGGCTGCTTTGGGGAGGGAGTAGAGGGGCGAGGAAGCCAACGCCATGTGGGGTGGATGAGTCCCCGGGCTGGATCCCTGCAGGGCGGCATCGCCGCTCCCGCTGTGGCGCGGTGCCTCCAGCGCCGCTCCGCCATTCCCGCCTCTATGGGCGTTATCTGGGGCGAGAGTTTCGACAGCCGAGGAATGCCTCTCGGCTTTGAATTACCCCCGGTAATCTCATCTCCCTGCCGTCCTCGCTTCCTGCCTTGGATCAACACAGACCGAATTCCTCTTAAGTGCAAAATTCAACTCAAAACTTAACTCTCAGCTTCCCAGCCGGCGCCTCCTCAAGTTAAAACCCCAGGGGCTACAGCCATCGGGAAGAGCAAACTGGGACCCAGTGGGGTCCTTCCCCTCTGCCTGGGGTGCCGACAGCCCCAGCTCTCCCCGCAGGCACTTCCCACCTTGCCCTTCCCTGGTTAAACATTTGCCATCGGAGCATGGGCTCCTCCTTTCCTCGCCCCATTTCCAAAACAAGCCTCCCTCTCCCCCAGGCTGCGGCACGGGGAGCTTCCCTGCGAAGGAGAGAGATAAACCACAGCGCCTTTTCTGCTTTGCCTCAGCCCAAGATCGTGGCTGGCTGCTTTCCTCTTATTTTTAACACCTCTCTCTGTTGTTACAGGCTTGAAAAAAAAAAAACAAAAAACCTCACACAAGTTTGGATTCCTCCAAGACTTTCCCACAGCCTCTATCACACATCTGCTCTCCTAGAAGAAAAACGAAAAGCATACCTAGTAATAATATTTTCCTCTTTTACACTGTATATTTGTAAGAAAGAGTGTGTTACTTCTGAAAGCATGGTTTGACAGGCATTGCTGTAGTGTTTGAAAAGTCTTTTCAAACAGAACCATAGGAAAGCAGACTACAAAAAAGAAAAAAAAAAAAAAAAACAAAATGAGAGCAAGTTTTTTTGTACCAAACCTCCTAAATAGGACAATCTTACACTGGGTCGGACCACAGGTTTTGTGCTTGACTTTTGAATGCGTGTAATTAAGAGTGTCTATCCTCGCCCTGCCCCATCAGCTGCATGTCGAAGGCATGATGTTCACGTGCGTGCGGATGTCGAGATGCACGATTTGGGTCTGTAGGAATTGTGCTTCCCTCTGGCACAGGGACTGTGCTCCGGCTGTGTCGGCACGACGTCTGCAGACACGTACAGTATTACCGTTTTCTTCCCAGTTGTACCAAACAACAACCAGGCAGGACAATCAGAAACTTTCTTATGGTGTTTTTTTTTACCTTAGGGCTATGTTAATAGCTTGCTGTGCAAAGCTTCGGCATGGTACAACGGCTCGGATCAGGGATGGGCAGAGACAGCCCACACATGTAGCAAGGTGACAATTTGCCTCCTCCTCCTCCTGCCATGACTGCTTGAAGTTGTTATGGGCAACGTAAACTGCTGTAATGAGAGAAAAAAAAAACAAACAAAAAACCAAGCCCTCCGTTCACCAGCTTACTCGAGGTTGGGCACAAGTCCCGAGCGAGCCGAGGGGCTTAGACACGTGCCTACCGTTACGCCAAAGCGCTGGGCTGAACTGGGGTTGTAGTGTCAAAGTTACGCCGGTCTGGTGGCTCGCTGTGTTTAATTTCCATGTTTCCATGTGCAAAGACAAGAAGGGTGCTAACACCCTTGGGGCAGTATCTGTAGCCTTTACAGAGATAGCATACCAGCAAAGAGACCACTTGACTTTACTAGTCTTTCCTTCTCCTTGCTCCAGGAGGCATTTGGAAAAAGAAAGAACAAAGCAAACCAAAACAAAACCTCAAAAGAGTTTTCAGTTTCGTGCAAAACTTCTCCTTCCATTGCATTTCCCCAAAGCCCCATCTCTGCTACAGAGTACACCGAGCTCAGCCGCTGCCCGGGCTTCGCCGTGGCCGTTTTCCCAGCTGCACTGAAGACACAGGGTGCCTGTGGCCTTGTGAAACATCCTAACCTTTTTCCTCCTCCTTCCTTTTATTCCGTGGGTGGGCCACAACAAGACAGCTGAGATTTCGGCTGCTGGAGCCGGGGCGGGGCGAGGGGTGAGATGGTGCAGTGGGAAACTGACCCCTTGGGGTCTTCTGTAAAAAGCGGGATTGATAAAGGCGACGCGAGAAGAAATCAATTCCAAGACAAACCTCTGAGCGGCTCTAAAAGGAACGATACCAGCGTTTCCAAGCGACGGACTAACTCTTTTAGCAAACTATTTCCTGTACTTTGTCTTGTGGAGAGGAGAGAAGCTTCCACATTGTCTACTCCGCTTTTGGAAATATGTTTAAAGGTACTTTTCTATTGTGATTTTTTAAAAATAAAACCAGTGATTATTATAAGTTATGCGGAGAGCGTCATCGTGTGCTGTGTATCTGGTTAGGAACAGGGGGAAGGATCCTAACCCGCCCTTCGGGGCCTCAGGGAACAGCAGCCTCCTTCCTCCCTTGGGGTATTTGAAGGCAACGCTCCTGAGGGACGTGATTTTTCAGGGCAGATACCCGATTTTTCAGGGCAGATACCGTTGTCCCACTTGGCTTGCTTGGATCTCTAGGAAAGCTCCAAAATCCAGGCTGGAAGGATCAGCAGGCTTAAAAGAAATGACTCCAAATTTACAAAGATGTTATCGGTTAGTTTTTAAACCTACTAATCTTGGCACTGAGCACAGGAGCTAAGCTGCGATTTTCCATGAGCTCAGCCACAGCAGAGGCAAACGTAACCTAGAGACGAAGGGCCAGATTATTATTTTTTTTAACACGCTGAGATTTTTGAAAAACTTGGTTCATAAACCCAACCTAGAAATTCTTCCTCCTTCCTCTGCTCCGCCCCCGCCCTGATAAATGTGACCAGCGTCCCCAGGAGCCTCATCCAACAAGCCAGACTCCGAAAACAAAGTACTGGGAACAAGCTCCAACTTAGCTAATGCAGGCCGGAGAATGGTACGTAAAGGATGTTATTAAAGCAGGCTACAAACTCTGGGGTGGGAGAAAGAGGCATGGTGGTGTTACTTGAAACCCCCGGCTGGCAGGGATGAGCTGGGGAGTTAAGCCCTTAATATTGGACGCTAATCCTGCCGCGGCCACCACAAGTCACAGCTTTCTTTCCGAGTTGCATTCAGGGGAGAGGTTTCTTGGCAGGCCCAGGGTAGGAAGGGAAGAGAGGGACAAGCTGCGAGCGCAAGGCGAACGTATTGCTCAGCCCAACTGCTATTCAGAGCGGCGGTAACTGGCCGACACCACCGTCCCAGGCATCCCTTCAGCGAGACACGCAGATGCTTTCGGGAGCGGAGTCAACAGCAAACATCCTCCAGCTAAGAAAGCAATGAAACACGCACGCATCCTCCTGGACTTTGCCTGGGTACAGCATCTGCTCCCAGATCTGCTCTGCGAAAGGAAGCGGGGCCTTGCTGAAAATATTTAACTTCTTGAATCATTTCTTTTTTTTTGAATTTCCCCTGTAAGCCAAACTGTTTTCAGCTCTGTGCTGATCAGTGTTGCCCTCATCAGTGAGGGGGGGGAGTGGCAAGCTGCTTGCCCAGCCCCAGCGTCTCCTTTGCCTGTGGTGACCTTTCCCCATGCGGCCAGGGGAACATTCCTTCCCTGTGACCATTGGGGCACTTACAGGAAGGCCAGAGCTGCTGGCTGACACCAGGAGATTGCAAAACGGGACCAGGGACTCCCAGGCCAGCGCTGGCATCCGATACCGGGGATAAGTCCCAGGGGAAACGAACAGGCAGAGCTGGAAAAACCAAAATGAGAAAATTTCGCACTCTCATTGTTTCCACTTTCCCAAGTCTTTCTCTCCCCATCCCCCAAGCACCAAGGCTAAACTCAGGGAGGGGGGAGTGCGAATGTCTCCCTTCTACGCATCCCTGCATCCCTGTGCAGAGGTTTGCTGCCCTGAGGCTTCCCACTGGAAGCGACGGCCAAGGCAGGGAATGGGCTGGCACGGTCTGCAAAGGAAAACGCAGTGCTAACTCCCCACATCGGATGGACACAAGCGAGCGGTGGAGGAACGGAAGAGCTGTATCTCCCAGAGGATTGTATGGGGGGACAGGCAGCCTGCGCAGGCAGAGCTGAGGGCAGGGATTAGTGGAGGGTGCTGTGGGAATGGAGCCGGGCCAGCCAGGGCAGGGAGAGCAAAGGGCAGACAGAGCCGGTGCCAAGGCCGGCCAGCAGCGCCCGCAGCACGGATGGGGCTGGGAGGAGGAGCGAGACCAGGACCCGCTCCTGCAGGCCTCCTCAGGAGAGCAGGGGAAGGAAACACAAGGCTGGGAGAGGGAAGATGAGATAGCACTGGGGTTTGGCCAGGCAGCTTGGGAGGCTGAGACACAGGCTGGGAAGGAAGCTGTCGGCTAAGAGCAAAGAGGTGGCCTTGTGAGGACAGCCGGGGCCAGGGTGAGGGGGCGGCACTCACCGTGGATTTGCTCCCAAATTCTTGAAGCTTGGGGAAATTGAGAGGCATCAGCCAGCAAGTCACCACGCTGCCTGAATGCTGCCAGGCACGGCTGCTCTGTGCTCCCTGCCACCACAAAAAGGCTCCACGTGCCTGGGAAAGCAGGCAGCTAGAGCGTCATCCATCTCCCTGCCCTGGGAAGGACCGGGGTAACTGCAGACAGGGGATTGCACAGCCCACCTGAAAGCCTAAAGTTTGCACTGGGGCCGTGCCTGCAGCCCAGAGGCAGGACAGCCATCCCCAGGCCAGGCAGTGCCTGCACCAGGGAGACAATTCAAGTCAGGGAGATGAGCAGGGTGGCACAGATGTGTGCCCTGCAACTGCGGGTTATCTGGAGACCCAGGCTTCAGCCAGCATTTCAACACTGTTACCTGCCTCGCTGCCACGGTCAGGCTAGAAACCAAGACGATGGTGGAGCTTAAAAAGCAAAGCTAAGAAATACCATTAGCAGATCCCTGAAATGCTTCTTCTAAAACACGAGGAAGTCAACCATTAGCAGAGTCTGGACTTCATCTCTGTAGTTTCCATAATTAATAACTGGCTCAGGAGGGAATAGAGAATACAGCATAACTGATGGAGGCAGTAGGAAATCACACAAGTACTTCAGGCCTTGGATGTAAGCCCAGAAGTGCAGGTATAGTCAAAAAATTAACTTAATGGAAAGACAACCTCCTGCCTTAACCATCCTTTTCCCCTGTTGTGCTTGCACTTTGCACAACGTCCAACCCATGAGGCTGGTGGAGTCCTACACATGGGTCCCAACCACAGAAGCCCTGATGAATTTTTGGAGTCATGGCTGTTTTTTTTCTGGGCTGGTGGATAAAACAGAGGCTGCTGCACACACTTGCAAACCAAAGCAGCAGAAAGTAAGGCAGTGAGAAACAAGGAAAACTGCTCTTACTGCAAGCTGGGCAGCACTGAGGAAGTCAGGGCTCAGACCCACAGGAGCATGTGGGTAAAAGTGGCCTCAGGAGAGGACAGAATTGTTGCCAACAAGAGATCAGGGCAGCCTGGTCTTGTCCAGGCAATGTTTGAAACCTCCCTGGCTGGAGAGACCTCCCCACCAGCTTTTATTTTTCCCTAATATCCAAGCCAAACTTCCCACATTCCCCTATTATGTCATCTGCCATGGCTGCCAAAAAGAGTTTGACCACATCATCTTCCTAATTGCCCTTCACATCGCTGTACCCGTGATTAGATATGTCCCCAGTCACCTCTTCACCACAATGAGCTGTCCCAGCTCCCCACTCTCCTCCCAGGCCCCTTACCCCAGGAGACCCAACCAGACCCTCCCCAGCATCCCTGTACCCCTCTTGAATGGAGGGGGGAGGCCCAAACTGGACACAGCTTCTGGGTATGACCTCTCCAGTGCTGAGCAGAGAGCCAAAAGCTTCCCTTGCTCCATTGGCCCTTGCTGGAGGGGCACAGGCTGCATTCACCTCATAGAGGAAGAGAACAGCTGCAACTATGCAATACCCAGCACGATGGAGAAGCTGCCTTCCTGCTGAGAGCCCTGCTGTGTCCAGACAAGCTCTCTCTTCTGGGGAACTGTCACTCTTCCTTACCTGCTTTACAGGGATGTGTCCAGAGAGCCTGTGCAGGTCTGACAAGACAGACATGGTTGGGAATGAACCTACAGAGCCAGAACAACAGACCGGAGAAGTAGCACAGAAGCAGACCCTCTCTCCTCTAGGAGGAGATCAAGCCCTAAACCACCTGGCATTCTGCATTACAGCAAAATGCCGGCCCAGGGTTCGCAGCTGGTGCGGTGCTGCCTTTTGCAAGCACCCCTAGAGCCAGGCTGGGCAGTGCTGTACCAACGCCAGCTACCTGAGGCGGCCAGGAACGCTGTTTGCAGGCGGATGCCTCTCTTGGCAACAACTCAGCGGTGGGCATGGATGATCCAGCCATATCCCTGATTTTGCCAGCAGCAGAAAGCCAGTGCCAGCAGATCGGGGATCGAGCTCTCCTCTCCCCTGTGGTTGTTAGCAGTTAGCCTTACCAGTCTTAACCAGTCAACAGTAAGCACTCAACTTGACTGGACATCCTCCCCCAGATGCAGTAGCTGCCAGAGGCCCCCGAGGCAGTAACACACAAAGGAATTTGGGCCTGGTACATTAGCAGCGACCGGAAAGCAAGCAACAAAGCTGGAAATAATGAGATGTCAGTGCCATAGTTGCTTCTAGTCATCTGCAAATGCAGGCCCTCCTCATCAGCAGGTACCGGGAGCCCAGCTCTCCCTGGTGGCCCTGCACCGCCTGCCCGTGCTCATGTGAAGTGACAGCCCTCGCTGGCTACATCCACGTGCAGGGTCTTTATACCGTTCGTCAGGGCTCCCTTGCCTCTCTCTCCTCTGCTCTCTAAAAGCCTTGAATGATCATGATGAATTATAGATCAGCTCTGGTACACACCGCCTTATGGCAGTTTTCTCATTCAAGCATACAAAATCCTGCTGTTTTCCATCCCCTTCCAGAATGATCATTGTAACAAGAGGAGGAGGTAGAGTAACTCTTCAGTTAGAGCAACTTTTAGAAGAGAAGCCAGTAGAGCTCCATGTTTAGAGGTGTGCCCTGGGCTATTCAAGTTGTACCTTAAAAAAACAACAGTGCTTTTATTTGGGGGGTGAGGAGGAGCAGATGAAATAAAAGGTCTGGTTCATGTATACAGATACAAAGAAGTCCTAATGAACTCCTCCTGAAGGGCCAGTGCAGGCCCTTTTCCCCATGGGCAGGTATGTTGACATTGCTAAAGGATGCCCTACAAGGATACCTTTCCAGAAGCAAATCCTAGACCAGCAATGCCTTGCTAGAGAGGAGGAACTATCAGAGATACAACCTGGCTTACTCCACCAGCTCTCTCCTCCTCCAGTTTCATCACAAGGGAATTGGCAC